AATCATGACAGAATTTTAGCTTTTGAAAATAGGCCTTGTTATCAGGAACACACTGTGTTTCTTCACCTCGTGTGAAATAGTCCCAGCTGGTGTGGATAGCTCACATCAACAGTATATTACTGTTCTGTCTGATGCATGATGCCTGCAGATGGGTGTTGATGACGGAATCCAGTTGTTCAAACCTAAACTTGCGCATGACTCAGGAAGCGAGGAAGTTCCAGTCTAATGTTTTGGCCTGGGGAATAGTATTTTTCCTGCCCTTCCTCTAGACATGCTCAGGGGTCCATGAAACATCATCAGCTTTCTCCAAACAGGCGATTTAAATGTGATGAACGCCACAGATCTTTGGAACAATATGTGTTCAGATTACGCTTTCCCAAATAATAGTGTTTGTTAACAAACAGTGGTGTAGAATGGGAACTACTTCTTTCTACGTTCCTCTTGTCTAATTATCTCACTAAATAACAACCAACTAACTACAAATAAATAAATAAACAAACAAACACAATGATAGTATACACAACTAGTCCAAACAGTAATTTATGTAGTCCTGAATAGCTGTCGGTACTCTCCAGACACAAATACTCCAACTGGGACAGACGTGGGGGTGTCGCACGTGGACCAGTGGATACAATAGCTGAGTTAATGAGTGCAAACATAGCAGTGTCTGTGCTGTCAGATTCCTCCAGTCATGGCTCCCACACACATCAGATAAAGCTCACCCATGGGCCCGAAGAACTGAAGACTTCATGAACTGAACAACCTTATTAACAGAAATATGACTGTTACAGGAGCATTTGGAAGTAAAACTGGGGGTATTTTCTTATTATTTCTCATTCTTGATATCAATTGCTTTATAAAGCATTATGACTTGGCCCACTGAACTATTTTTTATGTATGCTGGCAATGTGGCAACTAAATAACATTTTTATGTAGTAAATTTTAGAGTATTGTTTATTGTTCAGATAACAGAAAAAACGTGTTTTTTTACTTAATGGCCTACTGAATTAGCTCACTGGGAAAAACAAAACACAACCCGTAATCTTTATACATAATTGATTCCCAGTTGTAAAACTGAACAGCCCATGTTTTGCTCCTAGTGTTACTCTAGGTCATAATCGTGGTGAACGCACACCCTAAAAATGATATCTGAAATCGCGGTCAGGCGAGTGGACAGGGAGCTGTGATTGGCTGAGGGACAATTATGCAGAAACTCCTCCTTTCTCCCCCAGATTCTGATCTGTTTCTGTCAACTGGAGGCATTTCAATAGGTAGCGCACAAACCCGGTGGACACCGGCAGCCGCAGGGTTTGAATTGATATCTTACAGATATGTCTCTACAGGCCATTAAATCATAATTTCTACAGCCTGCATGGGATTGTGCTTAAGCAACTTGGAAAGTCAATCCAATAATTAATTTATTGCCTTTCTTTCCCTAAGCCCCAAAGATTTCTTTTAAATATGATAAAACACTTAAGAAGAGCTTAAAATGCAGATGCAGTTCTTGTCCCTTGAAATCCACCACGATGCTAAACTAATATTTTTCATCTGCTGACTGACTTTGAAAAATAAGTAACTTAGTGAGAGTGGAATTTGATTGGTTTTCTGGGCTATATTACGAGACCCAGTAAAACGGCATTATGTTGCACATATTTTTTATATATCTGGTATACTATGTGATGTTCTGCCATCTAGCCTACATAAACTTCTGATCACATAGGATGTATTTATTATTTGATTTCAAAGAACTAATGTATTATTTGTTGAACACTGCGCCCCCGCAAAAGGAGATATATATTGCGCAAAAGACCAACATTGCTCAAGGGCAAGGCCATATAGTCTTGAAAAACATTTGAGCAATTGCGCCACCTGATGGTCAAAATATGTAATCAACATTCAGTCTGAATTCATAGTCAACAGCATAAAGCACAATCCAAATATATTACCAGAAAACAACGCCATAATCCAAACTAGACATGAATATATAAACCTACAAATTTGTTATAAGCAAAAATAAGCGGAAAAGTATTTGTATTTGTACTTTCTGTACAGTATTGTTGTACCTAAATCTGTTACCTGTATTTTCTAGTCTGATTTAATGTGCAGGAACCATGGAGACCCATCACTGTCATATTTTCTGTAGAAAACTGAAAGACTGGAATCAGAGTGTATATGGACAGCCATAAATGGACAAAACATTGATGTTTCAGCCACTGGAGGCAGCATACCAGTTATGTAACAGTCCGTCTCTGACTCTCTATCTTTCTAACAGCATCTACAGTACACAAATCTGACTCTAATGGCTGTGATTTATGTTTTAGAACAACATGTGGAAATGTAAACGTTAACTACAGACTTAGTTGTACACAGAAGAAACTGAATACTGCTCATCTAAAAACCATGCTAATGCTAATTTTTTTTCTTTATTCAATTCCATCACACAAAGGTGCAATGCAAACATAGGGAAACGTTACACATCTCAAAGCATGCAAAACAGAATAACAGCAACAACAAAAAAACGCAAAATGATCCCCATAACGTGATAAATACCAGGTACACACACACACACACTGGTATGCTGCCTCCAGTGGCTGAAACATCAATGTTTTGTCCATTTATGGCTGTCTATATACACTCTGATTCCAGTCTTTCAGTTTTCTACAGAAAAAATGACAGCGATGGACCTCCATGGTTCCTGCACATTAAATCAGACTAGAAAATACAGTTAACAGATTTAGGTACAAAAATTCAGTACAGAAAGTACAAATACAAACAGATATATATATATATATATATATATATATATATATATAATTTATATATAAATAAAAAGTAACAGGAAGAAAATAATAATACATTAGGGCAGTTACATAAATTTGAAAAGCTTAAGAATTTGTATTATTTTTATAAGCTTCGTATTTTGTGATCTCATATTAGAAAGGGTTGACAAAATGTAATATATGATGGTTTCTTTTGAATGACTTTTGACTTATGAATATAAAACTTTGCTAAGATAATTAACAGATTAATAATGTAAATATGTTTATCAGAAAAATATGGGTTTTGATAACAAAGTAAAATATCATGAGGTTCTAAATTAAGGGCTTTGTTTAATTTTTTTGTTATGTCTATTTTAAAGTCAACCCAAAATGAAATAGAAAAAGTGCAATAGAAAAATAAATGTTCAATATCTTCAACAGATATATTACAAACGGTACATTTATCACAAACACTATGAATATATCTGCTAACAACTGCATGTACAGGATAACATCTGTGAATAATTTTGTAAAGTGCTTCTTTTACTTTATTAGAAATTACATATTTATATGGTAGCATCCAAATGCTGTGCCAAGATATACAATGAGGTTTAAGCCATTTTTATTTACATGGAGGATTGGACCCGACATTAAGGGAGTTTCTTATAAAACTGTTATTAAAACGTTTGCCAAAAAAGGAGAGACCATTTACAAAACGCTGGAGATTTTGTAGGCTTGTATTATTAATATTTACATCAGAGAATTTGGTTAAAATTATTACGCCACTAGGAATAGCCTTGATTACTTTGTTAAATTATTTTTAGTTTACAGAAAAAGCCATATTTTGTAATAAAATTAGGGTAAGTGTATAATTGCCCATTCTTGTTAATTAGCTGGTTTACAATTAATATGTTATACCGAACCCAATTTTCCATATACAATGACTTGTTATTATGAGTGATATTACCATTGTTCCATATAAAACACCTGCTAGGAGAAAAATTGTGTTTATACAAAAGTGACCACTAAAGTAATGCTTATAATGCTAATTCTTACACACTTGGGTTTTAGGAGTACAAGTATAGGCCTATTTCCATGTTTACATCCCTACATTTTTAGTGTGGCCACAGACTTTTTGAGAGAGAAGTTATTGTTGAGACTCCTACTTGTTTGTGCAAATCTTTAATGGTTTGTCAAACTGGGGAAATGCACTTTGAAGAAGCAAAGATAGTCTTCATATATCATTAATAATGAAATATTAAGTAGAATCACGCTGTATACCTTTTCCTTGAAAGTGTTTAAAAATAATAATAGGCTAAATAAATAATATAGTAAATAAATATATAATTCTAAACAAGACTTATTTGAATCAAGTTCATTTTCATTCAAACAAAATTAACTGCTTTTTTCTGTTGTAAATGATTCATATTAATTGGTAAGATGGTTATTTAGTTTAGTTGACTGTATTCTTGTTTGTATGGCACCCTCACCCTGCACATCTTTGCAGTTCTGCATTATTGTAGATTAAGACAAAGTTGTTTTTCTAACGAGTTTCCACCATAAATATCTCCAGACAGAGGGAACATGTATATTTTTCCAAGGAAGGAACATTCCCTATATAATCAATGGAACAATGAGCCCAGTTTGAATCTTTGATGAGGATGGATTCAAACTCACTGGGGAGAGCATTGTCTGCTGATGTGGATTTACAAACTTTAGAAACAATAGTCATTGTCATATGTGAATTATTAAGGAATATATTACAAAAAAATTACAAATCTGTCATCATTTGCTCACCCTAATGTTGCTCCAAACTTGGACAAAATTAATTTGTCTGTGGAAAATAAAGGGAGACGTTTAGCAACTAAATTTAGTGCTATGATTAGTGGTATTTCAACACAATTAAAGTGAATGAGGGCGGATTCTGTCTATAAATCTGGAATAAATGAATAAATGCAGACATGGATTTTTGTCATTTTTGTAGCTAAACAGCGCTGAGCACATGTCAGACAGTAGCCTACTTATGATGACGACACAGAACTAAAGAACCTGCAACTTTCATTCTACAACATAAAAGTATGATTTTAGAGGAACTTTAAATAATATACTCAAGCTTTAAAATATTGTAAACACTACGGGTTAGTTAAAATGACAGAGCCTGTTACTTTTGTATTTGGTGTTTTCTAAAAACCTAGAGGGCGGTGACGTTGCGGACCGGACGTGATGACGCAGGTCCTCTAGCCTGTATACGTGCGCGTTCTCGAGTGCACTCGGAACAAGTAGAGGACGACGAGGCTTCACCGAGGGCTTTGCTCCATACCGCCTTAGCCTCTGGAAACAGGCCCGATATTTATATTGTTACGTATTTAAAAACATTTAATCATGAGAAGGGAGCTGTTTGGCGTAATTCTTGCCGTTTGTATCGTCTGGTTCCAAGCCGAGGCTTTGACAGGTAAGGCGTCTCGTTTTTCTGTTGCTCTTTAGCTCACGAGCTCATTTTTCACAGGCCGTCTGTTGACACAAACACGACCTAGACGACAGGTCGACTGTATGTACACTGTTTTTAACCGTACAGTGAAGTAAAATACATTGAAAATGAACGTTTGAAATGTGTAAAGGCCGTTTAAATCGTCGACAAACTGTCGCGCATGAGCCCTCGAGGAAACAACTCGCGCGCATAGAGCTATAGCAACAGCGGAATACGTTAGTTGCTTTACTCATTAAAGCTCTTCAAATGCAAATGTTTATTTTAAATTAGACTAATATTCACTCTTTATTCACAATCTCCTCATCGCCGGCAGGCACAGCACTCATTTCAGCATGTGTTCGTGCTCGTGTTTGTGTGTGCTTGTGCGTCACTCATAGCACGTGCCTATATCGTGCACTATATCGATCATTTTTTCTATCGATATCGAAGAAGGTGTACCGTCGATAAATATTGATACTGTTTTATCGCCCAGGCCTACTGTAAGGGTAGGTTTAGGGTTGTGGTAGGTGTAGACATTAATAAACCATAATTTTACATGTAGCATTTTTCGTTGTCAAATTGTACTACCCACTGTTTTAATGGGAGGTAGCAAAATCTGACAGGGCAGCACAAATCGACAGAACACCGGTCCTCTTCCTTGGCAGGTCAGTTACTCCAGTGAGTGATGTCTTAAACCAGGTAAGCAGCAGGCAGCCATGACAACCAGTGCGCACTAGTTTTCTAGAGGCCTGCTGTCAAGTCTAATAAAACATCAGTTGAGAGTAGCCTGTAATCATAAAATGGAAACTGAGGGAGGCAAAACATGTTTGTCCAATCGTGAAGGAGGAGGCAGTCGGGCAGCAATTTTCATCTTTTAGTCTATCCTTGTTCAGTAAAAGGCTTAGCTTAAGCTCATTATAATGGTCCATCACTGGAAATGGCACAGGAATCCATGCAAACCCGTTGAACTTGTAGGTGATCAACCTTTGCTTTAGGGCTGTCAAAAAAAATTAGAATTACGAATATTCGTCGAATTTAAAATACAAAAATGTTGCATTCGAATTTTAGGTGTGCATTAAGGAGGCAGCCTTATCAACGGCGCACGAGATGCGATGACGATGTAAGTGTCGTTGCATTTAGCCTATCCAGTTGAAGCCACTAGATGTGGCGCTGCTGCGTTGTTCATTAAAAATATAGTGGAAAAAGAGAACATCAATGCGCACAAGATCTTGTTTACATCAAAACCGAAACCAAGGCGTTCACACAGAACGCATATTTCACGCATTTTCTAGACGGAAAAAGAGTATGAACGTGACTAAAACTAATAAAAACTAAAATGACAGCTTCACACAAAGACTAGACTAAAACTAAAATTAAAACAGGCCGCCAAAAACAACACTACATCCCACTGCATCTCATGTTTTTAAATGAAAAATGTACTCTGTGTGATTGGCTTTCCGCCCTTTGTTGCATACATTGCATACATACATGATGCTGTTTTGTTTATAGTTGTTTAAGCAACTTAATTATAATTGGTTTATTTTAAACATTATTTTAAACTTTTTTTCGCAGATAGTCATACTATCTTATGCTTTGAATGATGCGCCCTCTTGTGGCCTCAGGACAGAAGCCAAAAGCTTTTCTTCACCCTAACTGAAATTATGCATTTTAAATTCGAATATAATTCGAATTTTAATAATATTTAAGTACAAAATTCGAATTTAGTTTTTCAGCCATTTTGACAGCCCTACTTTACTTACTTATGGTAATGAAAGTTAGCAGTTTATTTGGAAATGCCAATCATGTACTGCAAAATTTGTATTTAAATATATTAACTATCCTTTCCACCCTTTTAGATAAATCAGTTGGTTTTCATGATTAATGAAACTGGTTTTGTTTTATGGTCTGGCAATATCATAATTTGTTTAGTGCCCCAGCAGCAGCTGATGAATGGCAGGGTCGGTAAATCCGAACCTAATCAGCATCATGCTCACAGTTAGAAATAGAGCGCTAAACACCCTAGGACAGTGTTTCTCAACCCTGGTCCTGAGCGCCCCCAACACTGCACATTTTGTATGTCTCCCTTATCTGACACCCATTTCAGGTCCTGGAGTTTCTTTTAATGAGCTAATGAGTTGAATCAGGTGTGTTTGATTAGGGAGACACACAAAATGTGCAGTGCTGGGGAGCGCCCAGGACCAGGGTTGAGAAACACTGCCCTAGGAGGTGCTTTTCTGCACGTAAGCATTGATACTTCCTCAAAATGACACGATTTGAGCAACAAGTTTGCTCATGCTGTTCTTTAGTTGCCACATAGTACATAATGCTATGGCAGAACGTCAGGCCGCATAGCTGTACGGTGGAAGCCATAGCGGCTCCAGATCAGAATAAAAATTAGATTTTCCCCATGAGTACTCAATCTTCAGCTCAGTTGTGCTTTGCTCAATAAGTTGGGTTAGAGCAAATAGACAGTTTTTTTTTTTTTTTTGCAGGTGAATAGGCGTGAGAAGAATGTTTTGTTTGTGGTTATGTTTTGTGCTTGGTGTGCTACTGGCAGCCATTTTGCACTTTGGAAAATGCAGCATGTACAGGGCTTGATTGGTGAGCGCAGTCCTGTCCTTCAACTTTTAAAATTTTCTCACTAAGCTGTAGGGATATGCAAAACTTCAAAACTAGTCGCCTGGTTGCCTGAACCACTAGTTGACTAGTCTAAATGGTCCGTGTACTTCTGCGTCCATTCATTTTTTTTTTTTTTTTTTTTTAATTAAAAAAAAGAACGGTTGTTGTATTTTTAAATGCTATGTTGAAAACCAACATTGAACTTAGAACCGTACAAACAAAATGCTGCCCGAAAAAATAAAATATTGACGACTTTTGAGATTTTTGTTTGACTTTTTGCACCTTTAATAAACAATTTCAAAATGCACAAATTAATATACAAAAATGTAGATTTTACAAGTTTTTTTTGGCCAAATTAGAAGTAATGCTTTTCCCGCACGTTCAGTTGAGAACTAGAACTGTCTCTAAAACAATGCAGAGACTTAATACATTCGGCCTACTTTAAAATATGATTTTAAAATAGTAATAATAATAATTTCTGACTGGCACATAACTGAACAAATGTAAACGGGTTAAGGTGGGGCCCCCTACAAGGCGGGGCCCCTGGGCTGCAGCCCATTCAAGCCCAATGGTAAGTCCGGCCATGGCCGTGCCGCTTGCGTCCGGTGTAGAAACGGTGTTAGGATTCGTGTTTTCCCTTATAAGGATTCACACTTTGGGCACACCCCCTAACTCCACCACCACCCTCCCCCCGCTCGCCGCTGCCCCCGCTGATGTCCATCCATCGCGATGTTTTACTGTAGACATCGTCCGATGCCAATTTTGTAGACATCGCCCAACCCTAGTCCATTGTTGTGGTTAACACTATGATTGCAATGATAGTGACATCCGCATATAAATGGCACGTTTATATGTGGATATCACTCCTGAAACTTTGCGTGTAAGCGGTCACTGGTCTTCTTAGCATCATGAAAAACAAAACTTAATCAAATTCCAAATCTCTTATTTACATGTTACACTTTGTTTGTTATAATGAGAGACTCCCGAGCATGCAGCAATGAACAAAACTGTGGTGTTTTGAGCGGTGAGTGGATTCTAATTTAAACGCTTGGCCATTTCCTTCAAGAAATCAACAAAAAATGTTGGTGATTGGCTATATTGATCAATGCTACAAAAACACGTTGAAAATAGGAATCTTTGAAGCTCTCCAGAGTTCAAACACACACACTGGAGCGTTTGGAAAATATGTTTCGCCAATATCCTATTTCTACAACTTCAACTGAGGTGCTTTTGCTTTCGTTTGGTTCCCTCTAGCACTCCAGTAGAACCGGCCCTGGATACAATTAAATGCAAAGAAATATGCAAAGAGTATTTCTTGCATGTTTATAGGCATGAAAAATGATCAAGATCATAAAAATATAGAAGCCAAAGGTTTTCATAAAGCAGTAGTTTACCGGTAGTTACGTCAGTAGCGTGAGGGTGCTTATAGCGTCTGTTCGAGGAGCTTAAAAAAGCTATAAATTAAATTTTGCATTTATATACAAAAACTTTATATAATTTTTTTACGATTTTTAATGAAATATGAATTTTGAATAATGGAAATTAGTTTGTCTGCTTATTCTGTTCATCAGTGTTTGAACCATTAAAGAAAAACAGCATGTTCCATATTTCATTTCTGAATTAAAAAAAAAAGAAAAATGAATAGACGCAAAAGTACACAGACCCTAAATCGGCATGAAATGAAAGTTTTGTAAAATGTTGTTAAAAAAAATCCAAAATCAACAGCTGATGAATAGAACGAAGACTCCATCTTAAAAAAAAAAAAAGCAAACCAAACTAGGGGTAAAATTTATATGATATTTGTGACATTCCTTTCTTTCCATATTTTGGTGAGTGATTAAAACTTTGACATGTTACACAATGTTTTATCAAGCTTAATGTCCCATGTACATTTAGGGTTTGCGATCTTAAAAGCCTTGTTGTTAAACACTTATGATTTGCAATGCAGTTTAATGTCTTTTATAGGGAACGGTATTCCACATTCATCAGCATTCAATCATCAGCTTGAGGCAAGAAACTGTAATGTTGAAACAGTCGACCTTAGGTCAGTATTTCTTCAGCCAATTAATCCACACGTCAGCTTGTAAGAAGGTGAACTTATTGACTTGTTTACTAGAACAGGTTAAGTTAAATCTAGAAGTGTCAGACTTTGTACAGAGTAGGGCTGGACGATATGGCCAAAATTTATATCACGATATATTTCTTAATTTCGGTTGATACGATATAATTCCGATATCGATATGAACACTATTTATCTGAAATAGAAATCTTTTGTAACATTATAAATGCCTTTATCATCACTTTTAATCAATTTTAAGCATCCTTGCTAAATAAAATGATTAATTTCTATCATTTATTTCCCAAAAAATGTATAAAAATTATACTGAATGGTATAGTGTATAATGTAAAACGCACTAGACTGAATGATAAATGTGTGTTGTGATATTTAATTTGAAAATAAATGTAGCTGATTTCTTTATATTATAGCCTATGTCTTTCATCTTATTTAACTATAATCATGATACGTAACTGTCGCGTCTTGCTCACTTTCCCGCGAACAAACGCGCATAAATAAGTGGGATTAATGAAATTCAATAATAATGGCGGAGCCTCAACATTGGATTTGCAGCAGTGCGCGTTCTAGCCATTCGCGCTGCAGCTGAAGTGAATGACAGCTTGGGAGCACTCCTTGCTCGCTTTTACGAAAATGTTTTTTGACCAATCGTTTTCGTCTTAGTTTTAGTTTTCGCTTACGAAAATAACCTTGCTGGAGACGAGCTTATTTATAATGCAAACTCATTCTCTGCCAGCAGGAGGGATATCACCATTATTGAAAAAAATAATATCGCGATACATATTGATATTGAATTATTGTCCAGCCCTAGTACAGAGTGATACTTTTTGTACTTTACGATTCTCCCTGTTTGGAGTTATTTACAGTTTAGGTTTGAAATATTGGGTCAATATCTGCCTTACGGTAACACTAAATCTAAACACTTATATATACAAATATCTGCGTAAATTCCTTTTAGAACTTGTTTATGAGTAGCTTTCAATTTGTGATCCACTTAGTGAACATTGGAGGTGACCTTTCATGATGGTGAAATTAATGAAGCCTGTTCTGCTTTCAAAGGGCACATGTTATTTCAGGCCTAAGGCATGTGTGGAGTCTCATTGCTCTGACTGTAATGTGGATTGTGGCCATCTGCCTTTTTACCCCTCCCTGGCTAACTCACTAAAACATTCTTCCCTCTGAAACGGACAAAAAGGGAGTAGTACCTTACTCTTGTTTCAAAACCAAACACACTGAAAGCATGTGCTACACCGCAGGAAGCAACAACAGGTCTGGGGCTGATCTCAAAGCGCTCTTGCCATTGATGTGAAGGGTTGTTATTTAAGCTGCTACGCATGTACTTCCATGTAATTCAGAGTGTGTTTATTGTTCTAAGGTGATCAGAAAAATTGATGAAATTCTCCATGGGGGGATTAGCACGGTACAACCTTGTTTTTCTCTACATGCTTAAAGTCTACATGAACGGCTTCAAAATGGTTCAAGAGTTGTTTTTAGGTTCATTTGTGTCATTTACTCTGTTCATGTCAGTTGTGTTTATTCATAATCATGACAAGTTTTAAAGGTATAGTTCGCTGAAAAAAAAAACCTGTACGACTTTCTTCTGTGGAATGCAAAAGAAGATATTTTGAAATGTCTCAAGCGTGTGTTTTTTTTTTTTATACATACATTAAAATTCAGAGGGAAGTAATACATTAAAATTAGTCAAAATATCTTATGTTCCGCTGAAGAAAAAAGACATACAGATTTGCAACAACACAATGGTGAGTAAATGATGACACAATTATTTTTTTTTGGGGGGGAATTGAATTTTCCAAATATCATTTTTCATTGCATTTCTTGATTTGCTAAGCTTTGGTTTTAATGCAAGCTTCAACTCATTGTCTTTTTAAAATGCTTGCTTCTAATGTTCTTCAGTTGGGTTTTGGTATCATGAAGTGTTGAAGTCTTGCATCATGATGCTCAAAATCCAACTTGTTTCTTGTGTATGCCTTATTTGTTTTCCATTCTAACATTTCTCTTTCTTTTCTCCTCTACTGTTTCTTTTCTTTTTTGCGTGCCTGTCTGCTAATCATTATTCATATCTCAATGAACTGTCCACCCTAAACCCAAATCACCCATCAAATGTTCAGCGGGTTTCATAAAATCACCCTTGTCTCAGATGAAGCTCATAGAAGACAGTGCCAAGCTGGATTGCGAGGTCATAGGGAACCCCATCCCCGAAGTTCAGTGGTGGTTCATTGAGGGTGAAGAACGAAATGAAACAGGCACTCAGCTGTTTGACGGTGCGAGAGAGGATCGCGTACACATCAATGCCACCTATATCAACCATGCCACCAGCACGCTCATCCTCAACAACCTAATGCTCAACGACACTGGCGTTTACGAGTGCCGTGCTTCAAACGACCCTGATCGCAATGACCTCAGGACCCCACCCAAAGTCAAGTGGATTCGCTCACAAGCAAACGTTATAGTGTTTGAACGTGAGTTATGTTGTGGAAACGCAGCGTCTCCACTATTGTAGAGGAAGGAGTCCCGTAGATTCAGATTCTCCCTTGCCTTTCCCTCCGCCTTCCTTTTTTTTTTTTTTTTTTTCTTTCGACCAGAGACCAGGTCACATGACTTCTCACATGACAGCTTTAGCACCATCTGTTCTTTCATAGTAATCTGATGCCTTCTGAGCACATCACTGCCTAGAGCTTTAGATGAAGTTGAACCTTTTAAAGAAATGGCATTGATCGGTTAACGTTACTGTCAGTCAGAAGGTGTTAAACGCACTAATTGGCATGCATTTCTGAAAAAGGGCTCTGATTAGGTCTCATTAACGTGGTTTGCTTTCAGTAAACATCTAAAAAGCTCTAGATGTGTGGCTTAACCCTTCTGGTGGTCTTGGAGCAGTACTTAAGAAAAAAGTATGTATTTTCCACATCAGGTTTTCATAAGCTCATGGTCTCCAAACCAGTAGCTGGTTGTTTGAATTGTTCCCTCTTCCCATTCGTTTTCATTATAAACTGCTCACTCAATGCTTCCCAGTAGCTCACAGCCCAAATGTACCTTCACTTCTCCTTTGATAGAGCACAATGTACCTTTCGGCGCACATTGTGGTGAACATCTGGACAGCAATGTTCCTATCCGTTCTGTCGTGTCCAAAAATTTAATTTTTTTAATCAAACCCAGAAGTTGGTAGAGTCATTATCAGCAGTGAGCACTTTTTTTTTTTTTCTGTTAAAGAGTCATGGTGTTATGAAAGCTGATGTTTGTGTAACTTTTGCTACTTTTATGCCTCGGCAGCTGCAGCCATCACGACCAAACCAGAGGTGGTGAACGACCAGAACCAGACCTCTGCAACACTCAGTTGCAACCTTACCAACCCTTCTTCTCTCGTCAAAGGCCACTATTGGACCAATAATGGCAAGATCATTGACAAGTCCGAATCAAACAGTGATGAACTTTACATTAAACATGAGTATGTTCTTCAACCTTATGTAAATGATTGTATGAATAAAGAAGATCGAAATATAGCGCTCTAATTTCAGTATTATTACGTTTTCCAGATTTAGTGTTTACCCATCCATCCAGGTCCATCAAGTATAGTGCAGCTTCTCAGTTTGTGCGATATACGAGATGGGAGTTGTTAGCAGCAGTAGCGTGATTTAAGAGCCTCTGGCTCTCCACATTCATTGACCCTAATTCCCATTAGAACTGCTGGGTTGGAAAAATATTCATGGGGATGCCTGAGCAGTGGACTGGAAAAGCTGTTTACTTGTATATTTCATGTTTGCTTTACTTGTCCTCCCCTCCACCTTTATTGCTATGATGCTATGTTACTTTTTTTTTGTGGGTCTCATTTCTTGTTTTTCTTTCCGTGGCAGAATTAAAAAGGTTGATTACCACTCTGCTGGACTATATGCATGTGTCTTCCTAACAGAACCTCAGGTTAATGCGACCATTGAAGTTAAAGGTAAGAAAGTTTGACTGTAATGCATTACTGCATCTGTATCCGTCATGCATATTGTGTATTTATGTGCTTATAACCCATAATTATACTCTTCCTGTTAGCTCTCCCACATGTAGTGGCCTACAAACACTCTGAAAATGCTAATGAGAAAGACAAGGCTGTCCTAACATGTGTGAGCCATGGATACCCCCTGCCTACTAACTGGAGTTGGTACAAGCTCAAAGATGTTGAAATTGATAAGGTAAATAAAGACTTAACTAAACTGTTGTGCTTGTTGTAATGGCATGAGACTGGTACCTGGCCGTGCAATTTTGAAGATTGGATAAGGTTGCAAAGGTGTGTTAAATGGCACTTTGGCACTTAATAGAATTATTACAATAATATATTCAACCTGTTACTACTTCTAATAATTATTATAGTACTAGTAGTTGTATTAATAGAATTGCTACAATATTATATTCAACTTGTTTACTACTACTAATAAAATAATTAATTTAACTGTTATAGTGGTAGTAATTATATAAATATAATAACTGTTATTGAACCTATTGTCAAGTACAATATTACATAAAATATTCAATACAATATTATATAATGTATTATAATTAGGGCTGTCACGATTACTCGATTTAATTTGAGTACTTGATTATACAAAATCCTCGATTGCATTTTGCCTGTCGATTAACCGTCATAATACAGGAAGTGATGTATTCCACGGAGGAGAATCCATGAAAAGAGTTTAAGGCTGCACAAAATATTAAAACCATTTAAAACTCATAAAGCATTGTGCTATTGTGAATTCACAAATGAGATTAGGCCTGGGCGATAAAACGGTATCGATATTTATCGACGGTACACCCTCTTCAATAACGATAGAAAAAATGTTCGATATAGCGCACGATATAGGCACGTACTATGAGTGACGCAGACAGCACACACAAACAGGAACACATGCTGAATTGAGTGCTGTGCCTGCCTGTGACGAGGAGATTGTGAATAAAAGAAAATGAATATTAGTCGAATTTAAAATAAACATTTGCATTTGAATGCAAAAATAGTACAATCAAATGTTGGGTGTGTGTCTGGGAGCGTCATTCGTGGAGCGCGAGATGCGGTGATGATGATGTAAGTGACGTTGTTGCATTATAATGTTTTGTTAGTCTAGCCCACAAGACGCGCAGTTGCTGCGTTATTCATTCAAAATATTAGAGAAATATAGAAGCTCAATGCATAGAAGATCCTGATTAGGTTAAAACCGAAACCAAGCCATTCACTGAAAACGCATATTCAGTAGGGGTGGGGGGAAAAAACGATACAGCATAGTATCGCGATATTTTCCGCGGCAATACTGTATCGATACACGGACGCCAAGTATCGATCTTTTATTATACTATTTGGTAGAATAATAAAAAAAAATTCTTTACAATCCACTAGATGGTGGTGTTGAGTTTTTTTTATGGTGAGGTCAGCTGGGTCACCTTCAGCATGCAGTAAGTTAGTAAAATAAAGAGGGCGGCATGGCGTAAAGTTATCAGGAAGTTATCAGGGAAAGCCCCGTCCGCGTTTAAATCGGATGTATGGACTTCGGATTTGTAAACAAGGAGGGGATGTAAGTAGGGATGCACCGAAAATATAGGCTACATATAATAATAATAATAATAATAATAATAATAATAATAATAAT